AAAACAAAACCCTGGTTGTCTTGTGGGGAACAGCATGGTTGCTGCCATTTCAAAGGTCCCCCACTGCACTTTTGTCGCCAAGTAAGAAAATCGCTGGCAATTGTCAAACTGGATACACCAATTCATAACACTGTGATGCAATAATTATGAAGCTCACTAAATGTGTTGTCATGTACTTCATCAGCGATGGAACCGCCTTCTTTTATGCATATGCAGTAATGGTATAACATAACATTGTAAAAAAAAACACCCCACCCTGGATGTATTGTGGGGAACAGTTTGATTAATGCCATTTCAAAGGTCCCCTGCTCCTCCTTAGTCACCAACTAAGAAAATCACTGGTGATCGTTGAACTGAATACACCAATTAATAACAGTGTCATTCAGTAATTACAAAGCACATTAAATGTGTTGTCATGTACTTCATCAGTGATGGAACCTCCTTTTTTTGCATATGCTGTAATGTTATAGCATCATAACATGGGGGGGGGAAGGCTAGATGTATCATGGGGAACAGCATGGTTGCCGCCATTTCAAAGGTCCCCTGCTCCTCCTTGGTCGCCAACTGAGGAAATGGCTGGCGAAGTTTTCCACAAAATCCTAATGAAAATAGTATTTCATTCACAATCATGGAACTGGACACACCAATTCATAACAGAGTTATTCAGTAATTATGAAGCACACTAAATGAAAACAGTGCACATGTTGAGTTTCCATGATTATCAAATCAATTATATAATTCCATTATTGTTAGATGTTTAAAATACTGAATTGTAATTGAAAACACACTGGGATTTATAGGGGTAGAGAAGGGGTGGGAGAATGAATAAACAATACAAGTGCGAGGCGACAAAACCAAAAGAAAGGAAAGGAAAGGAAAGGAAAGGAAAGGAAAGGAAAGGAAAGGAAAGGAAAGGAAAGGAAAGGAAAGGAAAGGAAAGGAAAGGAAAGGAAAGGAGCTTCATGGATGGATAATTGCATGGAGAAGGCTACATGAAATCTCACTGCCTGCTTTGTCCCAATGTTATAACATTGCTATATTATAATGAGAGAAAAAATTGCATTGTAACACAATCAGCATTATGCTTTAAAAAATAGCAGATAACTCACGGGATGACCTGGGGGGTCAGGAATTCCTCACTGGAAAACTGCGAGTTCAGATCCGAAGGGGGAAAAATTGCAGAAAAAGTGAATTTGGAAAATGTGAGGTAATGGGGCACTAAATTCAGATCTACTTCTGGGGAGGCAAAAAGGTCTCATGAGATCCTAGTCAATTGCATAGCGGTGCTATTGATTCGGAACAGCTGAAGTTGGCCTGCAACTAAGGTTTCCTAGTGGTGAGGCAAATAATTGTGTGATTTTCAGCTTGTGGAGATCTGAGTTCTAATGCAATGATGACTGAGTGGCAACGAAATCTATAGAATCGATTTTTTCCCAACTGCTTTTTTTTTTTACATGTTGTGTTTCCACCCCAACCATATGCACATCCTATTTGCTTCAGTAGGGACAATAGTTCTTTCTGACACCAGTGAAACAGAAACAGCAGAAATCGAGTAGTAATTGTGCATTCTCATTGTTGAATCACTTAGCCTCTACAATGCATGTTGATGCTTAGCTGATGGTAATGATGCACAGGGGTCACTGCAGGCTGCCCAGTCTGTACAGGTAATAGAGACCAGGCAAACTACTTCAGCCTTACAGATGTGTTTGTCACATGATTGAATGCTTCTTCATACAACAAATTCTGAACTAACATCTTATTTTTCATGGGCAGGGAATATTGTTTACTTATTTTGTATAGAGGAGCACTCCCTCATTGTCTGAAGTGGTATAACACAGACCAGTTTGGATCATCTCAGTGAAAATTAGACAGTGGCTTGGGATCAAATTCTTGTTCCTGGGTCACTTTGTACATTCTCAGTTGTATGGCAGGAGGCACAAGAAGCTGCCATTGGGATACATTCTTGAGAAACCTTGGGATATATGGTTCTTGTCTTATATTGCTGCTGTTAGTCAGTGGGGCCTGAGGGAAAAATAATATCATCAAAAATCACTGAGGGAACCCGGGATTGGTCTGATGTAGTAATTATCTTCCCTATGGTCTTCAGCTCAGCATTTCTAGCCCCACCTTTTATTCAATCTGTAATGTCTTTAAGCTAGGGATTCTCTCCTTTAAGTATTGTCATAATTACTGAAGGTAATTGTGGGAGGGTTACACATACATACATTCAGAGGTCATTTCGGGGGGGGAGCGCGAGGGAACGCAGTTCCCCCGGGTGAGGTACGGGGGGCTGGGCACATGATGAAGCCCCGCCCCCTGCTTCCGGCCGGCACCGGCGGCCGGGACCATTGGGGGCAGGGTGTGTGGCCTTATGACACATTTCCGGTGATGTCAGGAGGTGTGGCCTTATGACACACTTCCGGTGATGTCAGGGGGTGTGGCATATGTTAATGAGTTATGCTAATGAGTTCCCCTAGCTCTTTTTCTACGAAATGACCCCTGCATACATTTCCTTTGTTGTGTCTGCAGAACGTCAGGAGTAAGCACTGACATGGCTAAAAAGAATCAGAGTCAGTCCAATTGCCTATTATACTCTTTGGCTTCCAAGCCCCTAAGGTAGCTTAATTGGTGTTGAGGGCTGCCATGGGAATCTGTAAAGGGCTTGATAAAGTTAGGTTCACTTCTGGTGTAGGCAGCCTACATGTGCAAATGGTTAGAGTATCACATAGGCTTTCCAACTCTGGGAAATTTCTGGAGATTTGGGGGCAGGGCCTGGGGAGGGCAGAGTTTGGGGAGGGGAGTGAGCTCAATGGGGATGAGATTGCATGGAATCTGCCCTCTAAAGCTGCCATTTCCTCCAGGGAAACTGATCGCAGCAGTCTGGAGGATGGCAACCCAGCCTAGTGCCTATGACTACTGGGTTTGAATCAATACTCTGCCCTAGAAGCTCATCAGGTGATCTCAAGATCATCATAGTATCTCAGCCTAGCCAACCTAACAGGGTTGTTGTTGTAAGGATAAAGTGGTCATCATGAGGAAGAAAAGTTAAATATACATAAAAAATAAAATAATGTGACAAAACAAAAAAAGCATTTTTCATTTCTTGCATTTGTAATGCAATACAAAACCTACATTTGTACTTCCAAATGATGGCCTCTCACTTTGAACCCACATGAAGTTGCTTTATACTGAATCAGAATATCTGTCCATCAAAGTCAGTATTGTCTATTCAGACTGACAGCAGCTCTCCAGGGTCTCCGGTGGAGGTCTTCCACAACACCCACCACCTGGTACTTTCAACTGGAGATGCTGGGGACTGAACATGGGATCTTCTGCATGCAAAGCAGATGCTTATTCCGCTGAACCATAGCCCCTTTCAGCCCTACATTAGTAACATTCACATGTTCTGTGCACAAATAGCAACTGAGAGGTTCAAAGGCACTTGTATCAACATGTGTGAAAGCCTGTTAAGTGACTAATCCTGAATATGGATGAAAATATCTCCCCCTGGGGGTACAAACACTAGCACTGCAGGCTTTTATGAAAAAGGATCTCATTTTAGAGTTCTTTTAAGATAAACACACAACCCATATTGCTATCTGTGCAACAGATGTAATGCTGAAACACAAAGATACAAAACCTCAGTCCCATTCAAACGATGGATTTGGATAGACAGGATGAGAACAAATTGGAGTGTGTGTGTGTGTGTGTTAAGGTCTACACTGGAAGGTAGTACACCCCTCTGAGCGCAGACGTTGTGGGAGCAGTGTGCCTTTGGTGAGTGAACTGCATTCTGCAGACGCTCATAAGTGCCCTCACACACTTGCAAGGCTGAGCGCCGCTGCAGACCAAAAAAAAAAAAGTTTCAAAAGTTGGGCCTCTGTCATTCTTAAACCCTGGTCTCTTTGGCCAGCAAGCACCAGGCTTTCCCAGACTTTGATATGCAACATTGGACTTCTATTGTCTGATGAATTTCTCATCTCTATGTTCCTTCAAACAAAGAAGCAAGCAAAAGTTGCTTTAAAAATAATTTGAATAATCAGGGGTACAAATCGCTGTCACTTTAGGAGCAAGAACAGCAATAGGATGAATTTTGCTTCGGGGAGAATTTAGAACAATCGCCAGGGGTTGAGAGCAGACGTAAGTATAACGTCGCAAAGATTCCTAATAATTTGTAGAGGAGCCCCCACCCTTCATTTCTACCTCCCCGCAATCCCACCCATCCCCCTTCGCTCAGCCGAGGGGAGAGAGAGAAGCTCTTTGATCTGGAGTTTGCATTGATCCTGAGAGCACGTCTCTTGCCTTCAGACCAAGCATCAAAAGTAAAAAAAAAAAGGGGGGGGGTTTGCAGGTCATGGCATCTGCAAACTGGGTGTTTCTCCCCCTTAATTCTCTTTTCTGAACACAATCCTCTTTCTCATGCCCCTCCCCTTTTTCCTCCCTAGCCGGGCAAAGTTGAGGGGGGGGAGAGACTGCAAAGTGCTTGTTGGGTCTGGAGCTCGCACGGGAGTTTGCATTGATCCATTGATTGCACATGGTCTCTTGCCTGACCTCCTTGCTCCCAGGGAAGCTGTCTCCATGGCTACTGGCCCTACTCCCCCAGTGGCAGACTGTAAATTCCTGCAGGCAGAGCTGAGCAGAGCCGGGGAGGGTGGGAGGGAGTGAAGGAGCAGCCGAAGCCAAATAGAAAGAAAGAAAGGGAAAAAGGGCGTTGCTTTGATGGACCTTTCACAGGTCCCCAGCACTAGACCAAGGCACTCCCCCCTCCTCAATATATTGCTCTCTGACAAAACCGGAGCTGGCTGCAATTCTTTTTGCAAGAAGGATCAGCGGAAGCAGCTGAGGGGAGGGCGATCAAGTCCACCTAAAGATACCGCGGGTCTCCTTTCCCATTTAGTAATATCAGGAAACCCAAACTGAATCTTGAGCCCTTTTGGCCATCCTTTTTCCAGTATTCTTTCTCCAGCGCCGCTTTTATACACCGCCAGAAAATAGACTTTTGGTGTTGAAAGTTTGCATGCTTCGGTGTCTCGTTTTAAAGCATCAGAAAAGCCCTTCTGCACACATGCCGATTGCGATGGGGGCCCTGGAGATTACTGGATTGTGTATGCTTTTCTTTTTCCTCTACTCCGGCAACACCATGGCTAAAGCTAGTCAAGGTAAGGATAATCCCCCCGGTCTCTCGCCTCCCCCCATATATAAGCGACCATTCCTTTGGTTTTTAACCCTTCATCAATCTGTGAAATCAGCAAGCACCAACAAAAATTGCTCACTTCTGAATGCAAATCTTGTTTTATCTTCCCTTAACGTTTAGTTGTTGTGTTTGCTAGGAATTCTTTTAGAATTACTGTTCAGGTATTGGAAGGGGTGTAGGGTGTATATGGGGAAAGTTTTTCCCACTGAATAAGAAACGTGCTAGCCATAGACTCCACCTGGACACCGGATCCTCCATCCTTTACGGGATTAATCCATTTGGAACAATTACTGTAGAAATGCTGACCTGCTCATGGTTATAGTTATTGGATATGGTAAGTTATTTGAGACATTGAAGTGGGGCTTGAGATACAGACATATATATTCTTAGGGAGGACATACATTTTATTTGCATCTACCTGAAACAGACTGAAATAAATCTTGCAGTAAGAAGTTTTTTAGTAGATGCAAACACATACCATGAAATCCTAAGAACACTTTCCTGCGAGTAAGTCACACTGAACAAACCTGAATAGAATTCTCAGTAGAGTTGTTTAGGATTGGTCTCCCACTCTCTTTATAGGTTTGATTTCCTATAATAGTAATGTCAACTCTAGATGAGATGAAATAACATGCAGCAATAATACAAGAGTAAGCAGGGGACTTTCTTTTTTAATGAGTCCATGTAGATATATTAAATAATGCAGCATTTCATCTCTGTGGATTGTATCTTCCTTTTCCTTTCTCCTCTAAAGTTTGGAGGGAATTTCAGAGTTCTTGTCTTGTCTCTTAAAAAGTGGGTGTTTGGGTTTTTTTTAAAGAAGATTGAGAGAGGTCAGACTAAAAAACTACAAGAAGTTTTTTTTTTTTGGCACAGTTTATAAAGAGAGGACCTAGCATCATGTAAAGCTTTGTGATTTTAGCTTAGAAAGGAATGCTAAGGTTTTTTTGCCCTTTTCCAATTATCTTTGGTGCGTGCATTGCTTTCATATTCTTATCATAATATTTATTTATTAAGGCCTTTTGGTTTTGAATTCCATTGAAGCCCTGGCCAGAATTATGCTAAAATACCAAAGCAAAATTCCATCCTGTAGAGACTTGACGGATACCTTCAGGGAGAGAAGGGGAGGGAGTATGGTGTGGATTTGGGCTAGATCCTTGGTTGATGAAAATTAGCATGTAGAAACTTCTTTGTTATATCAGTTTCCTGTGGAGGAGAACCAAAATGACATTTCAGTGGAAATAGTTTTTAACTGCTTCAGCTGGAAACCTTGACGTTTTATTCATTCTGAAAGGTAATTTTAACTAAAAATAGTGATGTGTTATTTCATTCCAAAGCACCTGAAAACTGCAGCCTATCAAGTAGGACTTAATTCTGTTGCTTACAGTGCTTGCTATGCTTACCCAGGAGTGCTTCTTAATGGGACTGGCAAGCGATAGCCACACAAAAAAAGCTTGAACTTAACCTTATTTCTGTTCTTCTGGAAAGTGTGATTATGAATGAAACTTGTATGTAGAAAGCAGTGCACTCACACAGAGATTTGTGAAAATAAAGTTGACTGAAAGATGTAGACATGGATGCTAAATTTTGAAAAATCCCCATTGGGGCAATCTCTGATTTTTAAATGAGAAAGTCACCATGAGAAGGATGAAACCAATATTTTAAACCAATAAATCACAGACATTTCTGTCTCTTCAGGATATCACATCCACTTAACTAATAGAGGAAATTTTGTGCACAGACTTGCTGGATACCAGAATGGGTCAGGGGTAGGAATGCCAGCCTGCAGGTGGGACCTGGAGATTTCCTGGAATTACAGCTCATCTCCACAATACAGAGATCAGTTTCCCTGGAGAAAACGACTGCTTTGGAGGGTGGACTCTGTGTCATTGTATCCTACCGAGGTCCCTGTCCTCCCCAGGTTCCACTCTCAAATCTCCAGTTTCCCAACCTCTGGCTACCCTATCCCCCTCATCCTCCAATGGTGCCCAGGGAGGACCTGACAACCCTAGTCCAGGGGGAGGGTCAGAATGAATTTCCAGGGACACTACCCCGTGTATGCAGGAAAAAAAGTTTTTAAAAGACCTCTGGCTGTCACCCAACTTCTTAAAATCATCAGGGGCTGATGGAAGGAACATATATGCTTCCTTGTGTTGCCTCTGAACATTGGCAGCAGGCACCATTCAGCATGGAGGTGCCAGCTGACAGGGTTGGAAGGGAGGCTGAAGGGAATTGCTTCATTGCAGCATTGGGCCTGTAGGGGGCGCTCAAGCAGAGATGCTGCCCTGAATGTCCCAAGAGTCTGTTCATGGAACCAGATACCCCAGTCAAAACAAGGAGATTTACATGTGGAAGCAGGTTTCAGTTTATGCATTATTTGTGGGATTAGGAACTGTTAAAAATCAGGTACAGTCCATCTCCATTGAACTGGTTTCATTTGGATGTGTATTCCCATATGCATCTGAATGCACATCCCTTTGAAATCAGTGTCTGCATAGATTGTATCTGCATGTAGGTGCTCATTTAGATGTGCACCTGATTTAGCTGCACTTCCTGATCCAGCAAGGGATCCATGCGGAATGGGATGTAACATTTTCCCCTCTTTGGTTTGCATCTTCTCTTCCCCTTTTATGAAATTGTTCCTAGATCCATACTTACTATTTAAAATTAAAGATGTTATAGATAAGTTATAGTTTTAAAAGAAGGAATGGAACAAAAGGCTGGAGCAAAATACACAGACAGCTAAATTTTTTCACAGGTCTGCACTTGTTCTGAATAATAGCAGTCCTTAGCAAGAGTAAATCACTATGTGCCACTTATGCTGCTTTGCAGCAGCAGGGTACGTGGCTTTTAAAAACGTTTCTGGTGTATGTTTAGACGGTAAGCATTTAGAGAAAGCCGTAGTGGCTGTAGTGATGGTGACATTGTACAATAGTCCATTTCAGGGAACGGTAGTGGAGAAGCTGTGCCACTACTCATCAGCCCTTCTTTAACTTGACTCTCCAAGAAAGTGAGCTGCTGAACTTGACAGCTTTTATGTGGGAATTCCCCCTCCCCAGGTGGAATACAGCATGCACTGCTTTATTGGGGAGCTTGCACATGATGCCCTGCTCTTTCCCAGCATAACTTGTGGGACTCCCAGGGCTTTTACTTTTAAGCTTGAGCAAAGTGAAAACAGACAGTGCCAGCAGCAGGCAGAGCCTCTGTGTGAACACTCTTCCAGCAGCCAGTCTGGGGGTGGGTGGAGCTTAGCGCTGCTTTCAAAATGGTGATGGTGAGCTCTGTTACTTCTTCCACCTCTTAAGCTCTTCAACAGGGCTTTAATTTTTAAAAAAACCAAACCCTACTCAGCATGCTGTAGCGCAGCTGTTGGAGCAGAGGGGGTTTCTGGACCCCAGGAGGCCCAGTGAGAGTCTTGGTGCAGTGAGGAAAAAGGAGGTGGGTAGAAGGGGTGAGAGCAGTGGTTGGGGACGAGGTGTGTGGATGTAGTCCCTTGGAATCTCTGTTTGGCGTGCTGCTGCTTTTGCAGTGGGAGCTGCTTTTCCTAGCCCTGTTTGAAACCAGCCCAGTTTTCATCCACCTACTACACAAACGCCCATTGCAAGAAAGAGGGAAGTGTCTTTATATGTTACTATGAAAGAGGCCTGGCTGTCAGAGGTTTAAATAATCCTTACATTTGCATGACTTGCTGACTTAATCAGAATGTTGAACTATTCCTTGTTGACATTAATAATATTATTAATTACCCCTTAGTCTGAAAGGCAAAAAAAGGTTTATTTCAATCTTTCTTTTGGTCTCTTTCAAGAGCAGGCTGGCTGTTCAAGAATGGCTGGGTCTCTGCTGAACAAGTTATGTCAGCGTTAGGTCAGGCAATATTATTAAAATAAATCCAAATACTTTGATTTTGTGTGTGTGTATAAGATTGCTAGACTGAAGATGCTAGAAAAGAACTGTAAGTGTTGAGATGAAAGCACATGTTGTTTTCTTTGCATAAACATGGAGGCTAAATGCTCAGAAGATTGAATGTGCTTCTGTGTTCACAGTTCTAGAAGGGGTTGAAGACTAAGCTATGATTATGTCACTGTAACAGTACATGGACCCAGAATTCTGAGTTATGTTTGTTGCAGACTTTATGTGCAAACATGGGCAGTTCAGATAGGTTGCAGTTCTCAAATCAAATCTCACCGGAACTGTTCCAGAATAAGTGGATTAATCATTTGATCTCTAGGCCTGAGGCCTAATTTTAAAGAGACTGTAAATGTTCTACAGAGCTTGCACTTAAGATGCTTTGAGAACATGAAGAAGGGAAACAATGTAAGGCTCATTATTTTTGACTGTTTACCATTTAAACCTACCAGAAGAGGGTTTTTTTGCCTGTGCTTGGATCTTGGGAGCCATCAGCAAATTCCGGTGCGTGATCTGGAAATGAAACTTCCTTAGCCACTTGGTGTTATTGCTATCAACATGCACTCATGATCTATTCACCAGGTTTTTGTTGGCATTTGGGAATGACTGATTCAAACAGACAGACAGAATTTGTCTTTTGTAAAATGGACTGGTTGATATAGTAATTCCAGGAGGGTGGGGGGATGGATCATGACTGGTTGATTCTACCATGAGTCATGGTAGACCATCTGAAGCTCCTGTCTCTGGGGCTGCAGGGGGTCTTTGTAGTCCAGTACTCAGCTCTCTGGGTAAGTATAATCTACCCCTTTCATCTCGCTTTCCAGAAAGTTCCCATCCTGTGAGGCTGGCCCCCATTGTTATGCCAACCAGTCTTGATAAGGAATAATCCCATGTCTCAGTCTCGGTATTCCTCAACTGTAAAATGGGAGCGTTAATTAGCTGCCTGTGATTGGGTCTTTGTTTAGCAGTTTTTGTTGCTGGAATTCCTGATGTGTAGTAACTGACATGTCAAATATATACTTAGGCTGATACTGCCATATATGGGTTATGTAATACAGC